GGAAGGCTTCCTGGATTAAGTAACGTGAAGGTCAGACGTGAATCCTGAGTAGCAGTTAGGGAGTTTCAGTGGAGTTGGAGGAGTATTCTAGATAGGAGTAGCAGCATGTGCAGAGGTCCGCAAGTCAGTATTGTATGCACATATCATATAGATGGATAAAAGAGATTATGTAATTGCTAATTACAGAGGCTCCAGTTACAGACCAGTCATTAAAGAAGTATAGCAGCAAGGGCAAGTAAAATGGGATATTAACCAAAAGGGTTAGTAGATTCATTTATTAATTAAAATATTTATTGTGTATCTACTATTGGCTGCACACTATTCTAGGCACTTAGGATACATCAGTGAGCAAACAAAGCAAAAGTCCCTACCCTGATGAAGTTTATATTCTAATACAGGGTGAGAAACAATAGACAGCAAGCATAATATAAATGATAAGGCACAGGAGAACATTAACGCTACAGGTAAGGTGCACCAGAAGTACAGAGAGTTGAGGAGTATTGTAAATAGGGTAGTCAGGGATTGCCTCATTGCCGGAGGTGGTGACTGAGCAAACACTTGAAAGAGATGAGGGAGTAAGCCTTGCAAATGTTAAGAGGAAGAACATTCCAGGGAGACAGAAGGGCCAGTGCAAAAGCCCTAAGCAGGATTCACATAAAAGACCAGACTTTACTGGTCTGATAGACACTGGTGGAATCCCCAAGACTATGGCCCTTAGACACCCTTCAGACCTGGAACTGAACCCACTGCTGGAGATCACCTTTCAGTTAAACAATAGACAGGCCTATAAAGTGAACAGTAACACCTGTGGGGAATGTGCTCCTCAGAACAATCAACCATACGAAACCAAAGGGCAGCATTTGCCCAAAAACAAAGTTCAGAAGGCAGGAAGGGGCAGGAAAGATGGGCAAATGGAAATGGGGAACCCAGGGAGGAAGTGGATAGAATGCTGTCACATTGAGAGGATTGCAACTAATGTCACGAAACAAAATGTGTATAAATTGTTGAATGGGACACTAATTTGCTCTGTAAACATACACCCGCACCACAATAAAATGTTAAAAAAAAAAAATCCCTAAGCAGGAATATGCCTGGTATGTTCCAAAACAGCAAGGAGGCTGGTGTGGCAAAACAAACAAGTAAGTAGTACAAAACGTGGTCAGAGAGGCAATGGGGAATGGAGGCAGATTGTGTGGGAACACGTAGGCCACTCTAAGAATTTACTGGAGGCTTGTCTCTTCACTTCCTCCTGCCCCAATGTACAGATCAAGAAGAACAAGAGGGCAGAGAAAAGGAAATACCAAATAGTTTATCTGGGCAGGGATAACATTCAGAGCAGTGTCCTTCAGGAGGCAGCAAGAGACTAGAGCGATAATCAGTCACAGCAAGGGGAAGGGATGCCTCTTTTAGAAGAGGTGTGCTAGAGCCCGCTCAGGAAGACTCATTATGCTTGTCTCTTGGCAACACTGCCTTCAATGATTTCATGCTGGTATCTTGAAATTGGTCATGGTTGGAGTATTTATACCATGGAAGATGGTAAACACCACAAATCCAGGCCTGTGTGTGTGCTAGTTGCTGTTGTTGTTAGTTGCCACTGAGTCGATTCAGACTCATGGCAACCCCATGTGTGTGGAGTAGGACTGCTCCATAGTGTTTTCAATGGCTGATTTTTCAGAAGTAGATCACCAAGCCTTTCTTCTGAGGCACCTCTGGGTGGGTTCAAACTATCAACCTTTCAGCTAGTAGTCAAGGGCTTAACAACTTGCCCCCTACCCTCCACCCCCACCCAGAGACTCCTTTGAGCTAGTTTAGCTGCAAGAAAATGTCTCTTCCTCAGGGTTGTGGATAGTAAGGAGGGGAAGCTGGATGTCCCTTCACACAATATTGAGGGGAAGATGAAGGCTCTAATGACCCCTTTCCTGTGAGTCAAAAAGGTTAGGCCAGTTGCTTAGAGAAAAAAATGGCAGGCATCTGAAATAACTTCTGCAGGTGGAGACTGAGCCTGGCTAGCCTTGCATGAGAAAATAAATAAGGGAACTGACAGGCAAATGAGAAGAGGGCCAAGTTCAAATACACCATGGAGGCCCAAATCTCCATAAATTTCTCTTCTTTCTCTAACTCTCATTTGTTTGGAAGCCAAAGCGGGAAAATTAAACAGTTGTCCCAGACGGAAGGGTTTTGAAGGTTTGTTTGTACGCTGGTCTCTGAAGAAGGTTACAAGAGGACAGGAGAGTTAAAGCCCCTTAGAAAGGCACAGAGAAAGGATCAAGAATAGAGAAGGAACACAATGAAATCAGGAGGAGTCTAATAGTTTAGGTAAAATACTAAATGATATGGCATAAAAAAATATTAAGTTCCACTAATATTGCCTAATGATTGTTGAGAATTTAATCTTTGATAATTCAGTCTTCAAAAAGACAACTTTCTGGGTTAAAATCATTTTTGTTTTCTTTCCTAGACAAAATCGCTTTAGGGAGTATTTCTCTAGAGGTTACCTACAAGTGCTCGTTAGCTGCCTCCACGCCCACTCCCGGGTCTGTCCTTCTTTTGTTTGGCACTTAATGCCTCAGCTGCAGGCACTCTGGCTGCAGTGGAAACTTTGAAAGGTTTGTGATTTTGAAACAAGATGGAATTCTTTCAAATTTGTCTCCTAGCACAAGTAAGTATTTGGATTTGACTCAGTCGGGTGGCTACAAGTAAAAGATCAAGTGCTCACAAGGTTAAATTTCAGGAAAGCCCTCTTGGATACAAGACAAAAACGTGGTGTAAAACGAAAACAAAAGTAGCCTGAGTTAGAAAAGGCATTTGATTTTACTCTCTGCACTCAAGACTGCTGCCTTCTGCCGACTGAAGCAGGTTGGTTCTTTCTTTTCTTCTTTTGACTTGGATGTGATTTTTATACAAATTTTAGACTTTTATACAAAAGCCCAAAGATCTGTATACTTACCTCTGTAGAAGGAGTCTGGATGCCTGAAAGCTTAAATGTTTACAAGTGCAAAAAAGACTTACTTGAAAACAGTTGTGCACTTTAACCTTAAAATGAAAATCTGAACATAGCATGAACAAAATATTATTTTAATACCATTACTTGACTGTAAAACTTTGTTAATGACAAAATCAGCTTTGCTATTATTTTCCTGCTTTATTTGACAAACAACTTTTTTCTTTGTTCTTGTAATAAAGACATTTAAATGTGTTTCTATGTATCTGCCAGAAAGATCATTCCTGCAAATAATTTCCATTCCTACTCTTATTACTCGTATTTTTAAGTAAGATTAATCTTAACTTAAAAATACCCTTTCTTAATATATTATTTGTCCATATTATTCCTGATTATCATATTCAAGATTTCTGATGAGAGAAGAAAAGAACAAAGTTAATATTGTGTTAATAATTGAGGCATAAGAAAATAAAGACCAGGGCGGTCTTACCAGATTTAAACTTTTCAAATAATATTCAGGATAAAAATAGTCACTTAAAATTATCAGCACCTGGTTTTTGCATAAAGAAAGCAGTTCTTCTATGTAGTATCTTCCTCAGGGACCTTCTTTACTCATTCAAAAAGGTTTAGCAAGTGTAAGAACACTCTTTTGAAAATGTACAGTAATTTGGTATACTGTTTTAAAAAACAGTATTTTCAGTATTGATTCTAAAAGAATATTTAAGATTCTTCAAAGAACAAAAATAGTTAAAAGGAAGATAGATTAAAGAAAAAGTGAAAATTCAGCACTATAATAAAAACACTAAAAGTCATTATTATATACATTTTAAAACTTGTGAATTCTGTGCAAGCTATCTAATACTATGGGTGCTAAGAGCTAATCCAGTAAAATAAATTAAGGTTGAGACAGGAAATTCCTGACATATCTCCTATCCATTCTAGGTTATCAACTTTATACCTTCTCGCAAAACGTTCCATTTGACAATATTTACTGAGCATCTAGCATTTGCCAGGCATTCTGTAAGTATTAAGGTTACAAGCGGAAATCAAATAGTTCATACGCACCCTTGGGAAACTTAGAGCCTACAGGGACAAGGTAGTCTGGGAAACACATCTTTTCCATGGGATATGGTCAATTATCTGAGGTGCAGCGATAGCCCTGGATGAGGAAAGACTTTTGGGCAAAGTGACATCCAAGTAGAGTTAAGTAGGAGTTGGCCCTTCAAGGGAAGGGCAAGGAACAGTGTGCCAGATAAAGGGACCAGAATGAGCCATGATGTAGATGTGTGCTGCAGCATAGTGTGTGCCAAGAAACTGCCATCAAATCAGTACTACTGCTGAGTGTGGGGCACAGCACAGGGAGAGGTGGCAGGAGCCATGGCTGGGGCCGCATCAGAGGAAGCCTTGAGTATCACCCTAAGGAACTTAGACTGTGTCTTTCAGGTGAAGAGGGGTCACTGCTGACCTAGGTGGGGGAATGACAATTGGCATTTCAGACATAGGACACTGTGGTGACAATAAGAACAACATTTTTGGAGGAGGCTGTGGGGAGAAGTAAGAACAGAAGGATACCAGTTAGGAAGATATTATAGCAGGCAGGGGAGAAACACTGATGGTTGAAAGTAGGTCAGTGAGAGTGCAGATTAAAAGGAGGAGCAGATTTAAGACCTATTTGGAAGGCAAAATCAGAAGAACTTAGGAACTGATTTCAAAGCAGGGATAAAAAGGAAGATCAAGAATGATGTAGGCTTATGGCTTGGGTGACTAGGGGGCTGACGGTGCTATCAACTAAGAATATACAATAAGTAAGTAGTAACAAGTTTTGGAGGGAAGCTGACTAAAGAAGACTTTGTTTTACAAAAGCTAACTACTGAAATTTAGTATGAATGCTGATATAACTTATTTAACTTATTTTAAATAAATTTATAAGTAAATTATAAAAATTTAAAATAAATTTATTTCAAATAAAATAATTATTTTATTTTATTAGTTTAAAGCAGATGTAATCCATAAGAAATCACAAATATGTTTATGTAAAAATTGTAACTTTTCTGATTCTTTACAGTTGAAATCTGACTATATTTTCATATTTAAAAACTATTTTTAACATAAAAGTCCCCATTAGTTTTAGGGTTTAATGAGTAGGGCAACTCCCTAGGGTATTAGTTTTATCTTCCCTGTGTAAATTCAAGCTCCTGCACAGACTTGTAACCGCAAAATGAATTAATACTGAGGATATACTTTTAAAGTATATCCCACTAAAGAGTTTCAAAGAATGCTGACTTCAGGTTCACATAAGGTATAGCGACAATCTATTTTCCAGTGAAAGAACAAAACGTGCTGGATGAAATATGTTTTATTTCAAGCAGGGCTTTGAACCAGTTAGTTCCAGCTCGAACCCCTGCTGACAATTTGCATTTCTACAAGTTCCCAGGTGATGCTAATGCTATTGGTTAGGGACCGATTCTGTGAACTACTAGTAGAGCAGTGGTTCTCAAAATTTATTATACATAAGAATCACCTGGGGATCTTGTTAAACTGTAGATTCTGATTTAGTATGTCTGGGGTAGAAATGTAAATTCTCAGCAGGGGTTTAAACTGGAACAGACCAGTTTGAAGCCCTACCTTCAAGTCATATTAAAATGAGTTTCTAATAGCCTGAAATATCTTTGCCATCTAGATTGGTACCATGGGTTTGGGACACAACCAGTCAACAGACTACTACTACGAGGAAAATGAAGTGAACGGCACTCATGACTACAGTCAGTATGAAGTGATCTGTATAAAAGAAGAGGTCAGAAAATTTGCCAAAGTATTCCTGCCTGCCTTCTTCACCATAGCTTTCATCATTGGACTTGCAGGCAATTCCATAGTAGTGGCTATTTATGCCTATTACAAGAAACAGAGAACCAAAACAGATGTGTACATCCTGAACTTGGCTGTGGCAGATTTACTCCTACTATTCACTCTGCCTTTTTGGGCAGTTAGTGCAGTTCATGGGTGGGTTTTAGGGAAAACGATGTGCAAAGTAACTTCAGCCTTGTACACAGTAAACTTTGTCTCTGGAATGCAGTTTCTGGCTTGTATCAGCATAGACAGGTATTTAGCAGTAACTAAAGCCCCAAGTCAATCAGGAGTGGGGAGACCAGGCTGGATCATCTGCTCCTGTGTCTGGATGGCTGCCATTTTGCTGAGTATACCCCAGCTGGTTTTTAATACAGTAAATGACAATGCTAGGTGCATTCCCATCTTTCCACACCACTTAGGGACATCAGTGAAAGCAGCGATTCAAATGCTGGAAATCTGCATAGGGTTTGTCGTGCCCTTTCTTATTATGGGAGTCTGCTCCTTTATCACGGCAAGGATACTCATCAAGACACCAAACATTAAAAAATCTAGGCCCCTCAAAGTTCTGCTTACAGTGGTTGTAGTGTTCATTGTCACTCAGCTGCCTTATAATACTGTCAAGTTCTGCCAAGCCATAGACATCATCTACTCCCTGATTACCGACTGCGAGATGAGCAAACGCATGGATGTTGCCATCCAAGTCACAGAGAGCATCGCACTTTTCCACAGCTGCCTCAACCCAATCCTCTATGTTTTCATGGGAGCCTCTTTTAAAAACTATATTACGAAAGTGGCCAAGACATATGGGTACTGGAGAAGACAGAAACAGAATGTGGAGGAGATTCCTTTCGACTCTGAAGGTCCCACAGAGCCAACCAGTACTTTCAGCATTTAAATGTAAAACTGCTCTGTCTCCTGCTTCGCTACACATGATTGATACTTCTCCCTCAGATAAAACATCTGCATTATTCTGAAATACAAATCTTAACCACTGTGGTTACAACTTATAACAAAGAACGGGCAGGGGTGGAAGGGTGGTGAGAGTAGAAGCAGAGAAGTGGAAATATGATAATGTACTAACATGAAAATTAAACAATAGAGGAAAATATTAATAACAGGGATACATAAATAAAAACACTAGGCTACAGGCTAGGCCATCTAAAACAGATGAAGAGACCTATGTTAAGGGGCATTTATAACTTTAATTATCTAAATTTTAATATAACTATTTCTCTGCATTATTTTAGTACTTAAATAACTACATAGTAAAAATTAATCTTTTTTTCAGTTGCTTAATCTGTGATTCCCTAAAATCCCAGAAAGAATAATAAACACCAACAAAAATATACACAATAAGCTTTTTCTGGTCTTTTTGATACATCCTGGCAAATTTCTAAAGATATAGTCTGTTTCCATGGTATCATCTTTGTTTAGTAATAATTACTTACCCTGATGTTAGCTTTATCATTTATATGATAGACTCAATCCTCAGAATAATCATGTTTATCGAAGTTCTAATTTTTGTAACATCGTAAAGCTCTCATCCGTTTATGTGAATCTATTATTGAGTGCTAACTAAACAATATATTAGCCTATGTATAAAGCTTCTTATTTTTCCTTTAAATATTTGTATTTTTAAGCAATGAAAATATTACAGTAAACTATTTTTAATAATGGGTACAACCAATCTTTTTAAGAACAATGAACTATAAATTCTTATAGTCCATGTACTATGTCCCTATTAAAATTAAATTTTGATAGAAATTACATTGATCGAAAATAGTACATATTAATATGAATTTGATCTCACATACTGTAAAAAAATCCAAAAAGATGTGTTTTCTGCTTTTAAAATAAAGATCACCTAATCAAGATGTTATTTTAAAATTACTTTTCTAAATTTGAAAATGCTTTCAAAGGTAGAATTTAAAGAATTGTGATCATGAAACTTATCACTGTGCATCATAACATTATTCTAGCATAGCACCTGGTACAAAGAATAAATCTGTTGAGTGAAAAAATTATTCTGAACACTCACCACTGCTCCACCACTTCTTGCCATTAATTACATAGCTATTGCCATCTCGCTGGATGCTACATTCAATATTGGTGGCATCACTTGAAGCTACACCAGGCTCTATAAATAAGCAAAGGCTGAATTTACCAGCAGGTAACTATCATCAGTTTGCAAAAGAGACTTGGATAAGAGAATGTGAACTCTTTGAGAACAGAGGCATTCATGTCTTTTTCATCTTCCTATCCTTCCCCCATTCCATCCTGATCCTCCATGACCTACACATAGTAGGTATTCAATAAACGTGCATTGAAAGAACGAAGTATTCTAAATCTATTCTCCTGAATGGTGTTCTCAGCTTCCTCGTTGATATGACTTAGGATATAAGTCACTCAATTCTTTCTCCAATCATCAAAAGTAGATAAAAATCATTCTTCTCTACTTTCCACAATGGAAATTTGTACTAGATATTGGCAAGCCAGACTTCCTCACTATATACTTTACTATCTTAAATAATTTCTGTGTCTTGCAAATTTCATCTGAAATTCTTTCACTAATATATATACTTTGCATTCTTTAAAGCCTGCTCAGCACTCACCATCTTCAAAAGAAAGTTTGCCACAGGACACCTTAAATGACTGTTGTCCTGCATGGCATTTCAGCACTTACAAGCTAGCTCTAGATCACAGTAAGCCACACTTGTTAATATGTTGCTCTTTTAATTGGTCTTTCAGATATTTAATGTGTTCTACGTCTATTTCTAAAACTGGAGACCCAGTTCTTTGAGAAAGGGGCTGCGTACTTATTTTATAGTCCCTAGTTAGTGCTTTGTAGATAACGTATCATACTGTAGATACTCAATAAATGCCTCTTACTGACTTAAATGGAGACCAGCTGTGCTATTCAAAAAGCCAATGCAATATCATAGAGGACAGTAAATTTGGCTATTATTGCAAACACTTAAAAATTATGGCCAGGGGCTGATGGAAATGTTCTGTATCTCGATTGTAGTGGTGGTTAAAGGGGTGTATACATTTACGAGATTTACCTGTAGAGCCAATATGGGTGCATTTACTGTATGTAAATTATACCTCACAAAAGCTGATTTTTAAAAGAAAAAGAAATATATATGGCCAGATAAAATTCAGTCCAGGTCTTCAAACTGGTTCGTTTCAGTTCGAACCCCTGCTGAGAATTTGCATTTCCATCTCAGATATACTGAATCAGAATTTACATCTTAACAAGATCCCCAGGTGATTTTCATGTATAGTAAATTCTGAGAACCACTTCTCTACTAACCAACAGTATTAGCAGCGTAGACTTGTAGAAATGCAAATTCTCAGAAAAGGTTTGAACCAGAACAGACAGGTTCAAGCCCTGATTCAGTCTAATTCTAAACTCAACTATGAAACAATGACTCTGCCCTTTGAAGAGTTCTTAATTGTACAAATGGTATTAAATCAGTTTTATTAACATATTCTTAGTTTTATTTTCCCACATGATTATAATTTGAGTCATGTATCCAACACTGGTGAAAGTTCTATTTGTGTGGGTTTGTTTTGTAAGTATAAATATAAAACTATTACAAAGATGCATATTCTACACACAAGGGCAAAAAAAAACCCAAAATTTCAATATCCATAGATGGCAATTTTAGAAATGTAAGTCAAAACATTATGAAACCAGTTTTACCCTGCTGTTAATGCCTAAAGCAGGCTACTAGAAAACAACATCTAGTTGTTTGCCCTCCCAAAAGTGAGAACAATTGTATTCTGCACATTTTAAAATGCCAAAACTTAAAACTGGGCTCACAGCAAACATATTCACACTTCTGGACACAGGCAAATTTGCTTGAAACACAAAGCCACCTGCCACTTCTCTTCCGCTCATTCCTACTAACTCCTGGATAACTGACTCCACAAGGGGGAGAGTGCTGGTTTGCCATTTACCTGTCATACAGAAGCAGGAGGTAATGCTCCCTTGAAGAAGAGGCTCAAGCCACTGCTTCTTCTGTTCCTCGCTTCCATATAGGTGCAGCACCTCCATGTTCCCTGTGTCTACACATAATAATAAAAAGCATTTGTTTTGAATTTAAAAATTTACCAAATATGAAATCTACTACTTTATGTAGATAATACACACATGGGTCTTTTGTTGTTGAAAATATACACACCAAAAAACACACACCAGTTGAAACACTTCTACATGTGCAATACACTGACATTGCATTCTTCAAACCGTGCAGCCATTCTCAACCTCTTCCAATTCGTTCCTCCCTTGTTGATGTAAACTCACATCTCCCTCAGCTTTCTATCTAACCTTTTGAGTTGCCGTTAACAATCTGACCCCATATCGTAAGTACAGACATGTACCTTTTTAAAGTAAATGCTGGCTAACAAAACTATTTTAAAACATACAGTAAAAATAACACTGATGGCATGTTGTGCAAAGTTACAAGTTCATGGCATTCAGGGTATATTTACTCAATTTATTCTGAATTACAAACTCTTGTCCAGTTCATCCCAATGGAGCATGGCTCTAGTAGTTCTAGCTCAATCAGGACTAAGGAAACAATTGACAGGCCTGAACCTTGCCTGCTATCTTGCATCTATGTCCTGCTAGGTGTGACTACAATGCTCCTGGAGAATGACTCACATTTACATGCTGTACTGAGACTCCGTCCCTTAGATCTACTTGTTCCTCAAACACATCCTGTTCTTTCTAACTTCCAGATGTCTGCCTGGGTCAGGCGTTTTCTTAAGTGAAATTCTACTTGGGATTTAAACATAAATTCCTACTTATGAGTCACCTCCTCTGGGAAGAATCTCTGCCCAGTCAAAAATATCTCCTTCCTCTGAACTCACATAATCACTACTGTCTCTTTACCTCGAACATTGCTCTTACTGATGTGCAACCCCGGAGCACCTAGAATAAGGGTTGGGCTATCTCTTTAGGATGCTAAAGACAGAATCTTTGCTCTGGATAACAAATGGCAATAGATAACTTCAAAGACCCTCTCTGACCCTTGGAGGGTGTTGTCTGAGGCTGAACCACTGTACTATCACCCAGGTTTAAGAGAATGTTTCACTGAACAAAAGGCTCTAATTCTCATTCCAAGGAAATTTCTAAAAATATGGTCTAAAACCTTTCCCTTTCGTACTGATTACCCATAAAATTTTGAGGAAGAACTTCTCAATATCACCTCTTAAAACAACTTTAAGGATAGTTACTGAAAGGCCTGTGAAGACTGAATTAAGTCTAACCTAAGTCGCTCAGGATATGTTTGTACTCTGTTCAGATACTCCTAACCTGGCCAACATTATATTAAAATTCACAAGATTCCTAGTAGATTAATATAAGCTTAAAATTCTTTTTGACTGAGGGAGAAAATAAGTCTTAAATTATAACTAATGAAGTTAATTGTTTTCATATAACAATGTTTCTTATTGTAGTGCAAATGAGGTAAGTACTGAATAAAAATTTTTCAGAAATTATCAGTTTATTCCAAGAAGCTGGCAAAGTAAAAGTATTAATTATGGTATGGGTTGGGAAAAAGGCCTGGATAAATTACTTCTACAAAAAAATTTTTTTCCATTAAAAAAACCAGCTCAAAGGCCTAGAATATTTTCCAATAATAGCTTTAGGATTAAAATTGCTATTTTCAACATTCCAATATATAATACTGCATGATTCATTGAAGGGCAGAAAAAAGGCAAGCTGAAGGAGAAAAAAAGACATGTTTCCCATATGCTTTTACAACTATTTGGGAAATTATTTCAACTGCACAAGGAGAAATTCATCTTTTATATTTATGAAAACTCCCAAAGTATTTAATAGGCATCAAATACATTCCCTTCTTTATCCATTTTTGAAATGCTCCCAAAACACAATGCCCCAAGGCCTTCATGAAGTTATCTCTACCACGAAGAGAAAATGCCTAGCTTTCTACTTAAGATTTGTCTCTTGTTTGCTTAAGAGAGTTGCTGATCATAACTTGGTTAAAGAAAATGTATTTGCATTCCCAATTTTAAAATTTCCGCAGTCTGATAATATCATTTAGACAGTATAACTGATAGACTCATGAAATTTTAATACTAGAAAAAGTCCATGATCATCTAGTAAAAAGTGAGTTTACAGGTCAAATTGAAAAATAATGGCAGAGCTGTGTCTACAAAGGAAGTCTTGCAGCATTATTTTTCATATTATGATCCATTAAAGGGTCATGAAATTAATTTAATGGAATATGGCTAGTATTTTCTAAAAAACGACAGAACAAAATCGAATACATTACATAAAACTCAGCAGAGAGTATTTGAGTGCATTGCATGTAGTAAGGGAAAGTACTGGTTCATGAAACCTTTGTTTCAGTAATATACAAATATATATATATATACACACACACATATATATGTATGTATATGTGTGCGGGAGCCCTGGTGGCACAGTGGTTAAGTGCCGGCTGCTAACTGGAAGGTTGGCGTTTCAAACTCACCAGCTGCTCCACGGAAAAGATGCGGCAGTCTGCTTCCATAAAGATTATAGCCTTGGAAATCCTATGAGGCAGTTCTACTCTGTCCTATAGGGTTGCTGAGTCAGAATTGACTCAACGGCAATGGGTTTATATGTGTGTGTATGTGCATACATATAAACACACACATACACACATACAACTACATATACTACATATTGGGTCACAATATAAAATATATTTCTTATTATGAGTAGTAATCAAAAAAGTTTTACACTAAAAGACTACTAGTTCCCTTTTCACAATATCATGCTATCCATGCAGCATGATTTACTAGCCTACACAAATGAAATGAAATCTTTAGAAACTCTGTGGATAGATTACTTTCACAACAGCCTTATTATTTGATTACAATGTAGTACAGCAGTAATTTGACAAGTGTTAGGAAGAGGAAAAAGCATGTCAGGGACAAGTTCAACCATCATTAGAAGTCTACTAATTATCTTAATAGCTCCAAAGAAATGACAGAGTCAAAGTTCAATGTGGAGTCACTTTGTTAAATCCAGACTGCATTTTTATCTCAGAAGTACAATATAGTCCAATATACCTATTTTGGGGCAGTTTTGCCCTGCATTAACCCTTTTGGGGACAGCTTCAGCACCAGAGCCATACAATAAGCACAAAAGGCAATACTAAGTTCTGGCTTGTGCAGAGATACTTTAGAATATCATACTATCATCCTTCTACTACAAATCTAGTGCTAGTCCTTTACTGGCTGCATCAGAATAGCCAGGGTGTCTTGGAAAAAAAGATTCCCAGGGTCTACCCTAGACCTGCTGACTCAGAATCTCTAGGAACAAGTTCCGGGAATCTGGATTTTTAGAAAGTTCCTTAGGTGGTTCTTCTGCAAATCCAGGTTTGGAAACACCTCATATAGACTATATTCCAGGTTTACTCCTTTCATTTTATCTTTCTAAAGAAAAGTTGGCCTCTTTCCCTCCTCATTCCAATCAGTCACACCAAGCCCTTGGAGTTATCCTTGACTCCTCTATTACTATCCCATATCCAATCAGGAAATCCTCTTGGCTCTGCCTTTAAAATATATTTAAAATCTTCTCACTTCTCAATCCCTCCACTATTACAACCCTAGACCAAACCATTGTCATCTCTCACCAGCATTATTACAATAAACTCCCTGCTTCCCTTTTTCCCTCCTTCAGTCAATTCTCAATGTAGCAGCCAGAGTGAATCTTCCAAAACTGAAGTTACACCTTGTCACCCCTCTGCTCAAATTCTCCAATGGCTCCCCATTTCTCTACCCGATAAGGCCTTAAGTGATCTGGTGCCTTTACTTCTCAGATCTCTTCTACTATTCTTCCCCTAGCCACTTTAGTCTCCTTGGCTATTCTTGGAATACACAAATCACACTCTTGCCTTAGGGCCTTTACATTTTATGTTCCCTCTACTATGAACATGCTTCCCCCAGGTAATCAGCATGGCTAACTCTCTCACCTCTTCAAGTCATTATCAAATGTCACTTTCTTAATGTAAGTCTATGCTAACCATTCTATTTAAAACCCCATATCCCTGTCCCCCAGCACTCCAGAGTCCCCCCCACCCTGCTGTTTTTTTCCCAATGCACTTTTCATCTTCTGACTTACTGTCTTGGTCATCTAGTGCTGGTATAACAGAAATACCACAAGTGGATGGCTTTTACAAAGAGAAGTTTATTCTCTCACAGTCCAGTATGCTAGAAGTTCAAATTCAGGGCATCAGCTCCAGGGGAATGCTTTCCCTGTATGCTCTGGAGGAAGGTCCGTGTTATCAGTCTTTCCTTGTTCCGGGAGCATCTCAGCACAGGAACCTCAGGTCCAAAGGACGCACTCTGCTCCAGGCACTGCTTTCTTGCTGGTATAAGGTCCCCCGTGTGTCTCTGCTCACTTCTCTCTTTTACATCTCAAAAGAGGTTGGCTTAAGACACTATCCAATCTTGTATACCTCATAACTGCTGCTAATCCATCTTATTAGATCATAGTGATAAGAGTTTACGACACATAAGGAAATCAAATCAGATTACAAAATGGTACACAATCAAACAATACCGGCAATCATAACCCAGCCAAGTTGATACACGTATTTTTTGGGGGACATAATTCAATCTATAACACTTACTATATAATTTACTTATTATGTTTATTGTTAATTTTTGTCTCTTTCCATTAGAATGTCAGCTTCACGAGGACAGAGATATTTGTGTATTTTATTAATTGATGTATCCCAAGGACCTAGAACACTGCTTGACACATAGTAGGTGATCAATAAATAATCGGTGAATGAATGGAGAGGTAGTAAGGCTAACCAAAAAATGTGGAAATCTCTACCCATTCCATCTAGCCATAGAAATGTCCAATCTACCATTAAGATCCTTATGTTGCCAATCCCATTGGTGGTGACTTTTAGTCACCAACACTCTTAACATAATGATGTTTAACAAAAGAATAACTTGATGAGAACTTTAAATCCACTTTTTATATTTAAATCCAACTAACCACAAATAAAATTATAGGCAAATTTATAAATCAATGACTTGGAGGAGAAAAACTTGTTGTCATAAAATAGAGAAATTGTAAACACTGCTCAAAATATTAGCAAAAGTTTTTAAATAATGTAAAAACCTGGTGCTTGGCAGTTGAAGATATCTGGAGCAAAAAAGCATTTTCCTGTTTCTTCAGCAATGAAGGCATAGTCCACCTGGCTGAGTCCGCTTACAGCTGGCAAAAACAGGTTCCAGAGGCCCTCTGCTTTGGCCATTTCCTGTCGAGGTGATGAACATGCCAGAGTGATCATAATTTAGCATGACCTAGTTTATTTTCAAAAGATATTGGCATTTATGCTTTTTGAAATTTAAAACATCAATGGAGCTACTTATTTCATTGTATCCCACAGTGTGCAAAACCAACTTATTATTAATTCAGTATAAAATCAACAGTTTAGCTGTAAAAGAAATGCATTTTCCTCCAAGCTTCCTCAGATTGGCTGAAAAACTAAATTTGCTTACTGGAATACCTCCTATTTAATCACAGCCTTTAAAAAATCTCCCACATTTGGGTATAATCATGCCAAATATACTATTTTTGTGCCATTCAATTCCTCACATTTGTTGCTGTTAAGATTTGAAAACATGAAATTTAGATTACAACCATGTGGGACAAGTGCCCTGCCTTGACTTTAGCTTCAATTTAGTAACAGCTGGCAGTAAGTAGTGTTGATCATATTTTTTTCCTTTGAACAGCTGTAAAAGGCTGTCTTCATCATTTATCATATAAAGAACACTATGTAGCCTAATTTTTACATTAAAAAAAAAAAAAACACTGTCATAGAGTCAATTCTGACTCATAGCGACCCATTAAGAATTATATTTTTAAACTTACTTCTAAAAAATGTTATTACTGATATAATTGTGTCGCTGTTGTATGCTGTTGAGTTACGTGTCATTGAGTTGACTCAGAACAGCCTATATGACAGAGTAGAACTGCCCTATTGGGTTTTCTAGGCTGTAGGCTTTACAGGAGCAGGCTGCCAGGTCTATTTTTCCCAGGAGCCACTGGTGGGTTCAACCTGCTGACCTTTCGGTTAGCTGCTGAGCGCTTAACCATTGCACCACCAGGGCTCCTTACTGATACAATTATCTTCTACATACATAACAATAACAACAAGAACAAAGTAAAGCCTCAAAGAAACACCTGTGTATAATTTTCCAATGGTAGAGGGTTTCTTATTTTTCGTACCTTGAGTTTATCAATCACTAAAGGTTTTCTCCACTTATCCACAGAATTTCCATTTTGAACATAGAACGCAATTACCTCCTTAAAGTAATAAAAGGAAAAAAAGTTAATTAGCTAAAGTTAATACAAAGTAAACAGTGCCATAAACTGCTAATAACCAAAGTAAACAATTTTAGGTAAAGAAATTTTTTCAGATGCTATCAAATCAGTAATATTTCTTCTTAAAAAAACAGAAACATAAGCATATAAAATTCTGAAGGTTTGCTGTTCATAAATTACGCTGCCTCTGTACTAGACAATAGACTTCCAGAATCTTATACCAAGATTTGTGTCTTCAATTTTCAGCAATATGGCACACTAGAAATTCACAGAACTCCTCCCAATGCAGTCCAACTAAAAATGCTAGATAAAATACTAAATATAATTTTATAAAAACAAATATATTCAGTAATTCATAGTTGTGCTGGCAGGAAAGTAAGAGAATTCCTGAGAGGTCAGGAAGAAAAAGCCTGACTCTTCAGTGTGAGTGAGCACTGGAGCTGAGTTTGTCGGGGATGCCAGCTGATCCATGTCAGCCTAGGCCCTGGGCTTTAATGGGTCAGATAGGCAGGGGTCAGAAGACAAAACCAAATGCCCCAAACAGTGCTTGAGGGTGGATCAGAGACCACCACCACCCTACCACCAACACCAACACCCCGCCATAATGCTAGGGCACCTGAAGAGTAAAACCTAAGAAAAAAAAGAAAAAAACCTGCCCCTCACAGGTAGACCACAGGGATATAGGCTTACATATAGTTCTTGGTTCTGGGTGGAATAGAAACAGAAACTTTCCTAACATCGTCTGCCTTTACTCAAGTTTGAGATCTGAATTCACACACCTGCGAGGCTCCCAAACCTCAAGCTAAAAAGTAAGTCCTCTCTAGAGAAGGGGCTTTAAACAAAAGCCTTACATAATCCATGCAGATAAAATTCCATTCCAGAGAACATAAGTTCAGAGTGAAAAACTACTGAACACTCAAGGAAACAAGCCACCATAAGCAAGAATTAGCAAAAATAATAATTCAATAATACAGAATCACATTCCCAAAGACTATAGATAATGATCAGACACAGATCATCAAACATTTATATTCAATAGATTTCAAGAATAAAGTAAGGAATTAACAGTATGAGAAAGCTGACCAGGTGAATTTGAAAAAGAACCATGTGTAACTTGAGGAAAAGAAAATCACAGGAACTAAACAAAAAATATCCCCTGAAGTCTTCTGAAAACCAAACAATAGTTTAGTTTAATTAGTAAAGAATGTCTGCCTTGAGCGTTGTACTCTTTCAAGATCTATCTATACTGGATTAAACTGACAACAGAAACTTGAAAGATCAGATAGGAAGCTCAGGGGGCAGTGAGTTTATGTTAATGGAGGAGGAACAACTCAGAAAGGGAGGGTGAGAATGGCTGCACAACTGGAAGAACGTAATCAATGTCACTGAATTGTACACGTAGAAACTGGTGGATGTTTTCTTGTGTATATTCTCAACAACAAAATTTAAAAAAAAATGTAAAAAACTAAATCTATTGCCAAAAAGATCACAAAAATGACGTCTGGACTATCCATGTTTGGAATTTTCTTTCTCCCTTTCCTCTCTGATGCTAATGTTAATGAATAAACTTGACTACATAGTAAAAACAAACAAACAAACAAAAACCTCTGTGGTACTGGTTCTCAAACCTGGTGGGAATCAGAATCATTGGGGAACTCAGTAAAAACACAAGGGCCCTAAGTGAGCCTGAGCCTCTGTGTTCTTCACTAGCTCTCCACGCAATTCTGATACACTCCAAAATTTGAGAACCACTACTCTATGGATTGGAACCCTCGTGGCACAGTGGTTAAGTGCTCGGCTGCCAACCAAATGGTTTGCGGTTTGAACCCACCAGTGGCTCTGTGGGAGAAAGATGTGGCAGTCTGCTTCCATAGAGATTACAGCCTTGGAAACCCCATGAGGCAGTTCTACTCTGTTATATAAGGTCGCTATCAGTTGGAATCGACTCCACAGCAGTGGGTTTGGTTTTGGTTTTGGCTATATGGATGGGCTGAAAGGTAGACTAGATACAGCTGAAAAACAAATAAAAACAAAGGGCTGAAGAAATGACTTGGAATGAAGCACAGAAATTCAAGAGAAGGAAAATATGAATGATTGAGGGACATGGTGGATACAGAGAGGGAAGTTCTAACATTAAGTCAAATTGGAGCCCTGGATGAAGAAAATGAGGGGAGAAGCAATATTAAAAAGATATATAACTAAGATGTTTTCAGAACTGACAAAGATGCCAGTTGTCAAAGTCAGAAAGCACAACGAAGGCAGAGCACAGTCAAACTGCAGGGCATCAAAGAGAAAAAAAAAAAGCTCTTAAAAGGAAGAAGAGAGTAAGAAAAAAGATTATTGATAATAAAGCAACAATTAGATTGAGAGCTGACTTTCCACAGCAACAAACGGAGTCAGAAATCAATGGACTAGTATCTCTAATTGCTGAGAGAAAACAATTGTCGACCTAGAATTCTATGTCTAGTAAAACTATCTTTCAAGAATTAGGGCAAAATCAAGGTGTAACCAGACACACATCACCCTCTGCCTGGCAAAAAAAGGAAAGAAAGAGAAATAAAAGTTTACCACCAGCACACTCTCACTATAGGAACTTTATCCCAGAAGGAACATCTGAGTTGCAAGAAGGAATAGCAAATAATTAAAATGATAAATAAATGCATAAAAGTAAATTAAAAACTGGCTACATAAAACAATAACTATAATCTCTAATTGTGTAATTAAAAGAATCAAAATAGAATTAAATATTGTATGATGCATTCTTAAATATTTTGCTATTATAACATCTCTATTATTTTTTCTACAGTTAGACTAGCAGAATTACAGGGTTAAAGGCTATATTATTAAAACTCTTAATCCGTATTACCAAATTATTTTCTAAAATGTTTGTACTGATTTATAGTCTCACAAGCAATATACTAAAAAATTCCTTTCACTGAAGCCTGGCTAGTCTATGCTATTGCTGTATTTAGTGAACACTTCAAGGCACTAGGGTGAATAGCACTTGCCATTTCTGTCAGGAAGTCTGTGTATCAGGTGATTTCCTCTTTAGGGTTGTTTACTATTTATTTTCCTCATACAGCCATGGAAATAGTGCTCATAATGCTATTGTGTTTGATAAGAAATATATTGTGTAATACATTTACAATATTCTAATCTCTGACTACAGGAGTCGCTATCAGTTGGAATTGATTTTTTTTTTTTTTAATCTATGACTATTTTTATGACCTACAGTTTTAAGAAATTAAATTATGCCAGTATTTATATAATTATTTAAAAACATATTATTTAATACGCTCTGCAAGGGGTTTGGTTTTTGGGTTCTAAAGTCCACCCACTTAGAGACTTGCACACTTTATTGTGGTATGTAACAGGACTCAGAATTAAAATTTCTCACTACAAAGAAGCTCTCTTTAGTTCTTAAAACTTGAAAAATAATTTGTTGATGAGAAAAGCAAGAAGAAAATATGCTTGGCACCTGGTCAGTCTTTCCAAAATATCACCTTTAACATGCTAGTTCTTTGGTCACTTATTGAGATCCTACTTTGGAGTATGTTGGTTCAGAATCTTAACTCTTGTGTCTACAAATAATTGTGTAATATAATATGTTTTTCACTTTGAACTTAAGTCTATTAGAAAGAAAGAAGCTAACAGTTCTTCCCTAGTATATTATTAGACTCAGTAGGAAAACATGATTAATGTTACTATTATGTTAAAAATGTTTTCTCAATAATGTATTGCAAGTTCCTGTTAACATGCTATTTTTAAGATTTCTTATCCATTTTATTTTTTTTAATTGTACTTCAGGTGAAGGTTTACAGAACAAATAGTTTCTCATTAAACACTAGTACACATACTGGTTTATGACACTGGTTAACAATCCCACGACATGTCAACCCTTTTCATCTCGAACTTTTTTTTTTTTTCGGTGAAAACATACATAGCCAAAGATAAACCATTTCAAAAATTTCTACATGCACAGTTCAGTGACATCAACTATGCTCTTCCAATTGTGCTGCTAGTCTCACTTTAGATGAAGGCTTACAGAACAAAATAGTTTCTCATTAAACAGTTAGCACACATGTTGCCCTGTGACAATGGTTAACGACCTCACAACACATCAACACTGGTCTTACTCAACCTTGGGTTCCCTATCGCCAGCTTTCCCGTCCCGTTCTGCCTTCTACCCCTTGTCCCTGGACTGCTGTGCCTCATTAGTCTCGTTTTATGGGGCTGTCCAATCCCCGGCTGAACGGTAAACCTCGGAAGTGACTTCACCACTGAACTAAAAGGGTGTCTGGGGGCCATACTCTCAGGGTTTCTCCAGTCTCCTTTAGGCCAGTAAAGCTGGTCTTTTTTTTGTGAGTTAGAATTTTGTTCTACATCCTTCTCCAGCTCTGTCCAGAATCCTCTGTTGTGATCCCGGTCAGAGTGGTCAGTGGTGGTAGCCGGGCACCATCTAGCTGTACTGGACTCAGTCTGGTGGAGGCCTTGGTAGCTGTGGTCCATTAGTCCTTTGGATTAATCTTTTCCTTGTATCTTGTTTTCTTCATTCTCCCTTGCTCCCGAAGGGGTGAGACCAGTGGACTATCTTAGATGGCTGCTCACAGGCT